CCTCTGTGATGCCAATGTCCCCATTTCCATCATCAAAACCATGTTTCTCATCGACATTGAAAATCATCTCCAAAAAGAAGGCAAGCAACTTCAGGATGTTGATTTGACGCCGCCTTCTCCTGCCGAACAAAATGAAGCAAATGATCTTGCTGAAAGACTGCGTTAACAGGACGTGCCTCAAATTATATATGACGAAATTTCATATGATAAACAAACTCTCTGAAACACACTCGCTATAAATTTATCACTCCTTCGTTCTTCGCAACACGCTATCTTCCAACGTGTCATTAATGCGGCAGAAAACACCGAACCGCTCTGTCTATTTGACGCTCCAGCAGAAACAGGCAAAACTTTCTGCGTCAATACAATCCTTGCACACATTCGAAACCAAGATTGTGTTGCATTAGCTGTTGCCTCGAGTGGCATCGCTGCAAATCTTTTGGATGGTGGGCCTACCTTCCACTCACGTTTCAGAGCACCTCTCTCTCCAACTGCAACATCAACACTTGACATCTCAAAACAATTTGCACTCGTTGAACTCATCCGAATGACTGCCGTCATTCTTTGGGATGAAGCACCAATGATTTACAAATTTTACATTGAGGCACTAAACCGAACCTTGCAAGACATTTGCTCGTCGAATTTACCTTTTGGCGAAAAAATCATTATTCTCGCAGGTGACTTCCGTCAGATTCTTCTCGTTATCACAAAAGGCACACACGCGCAAACGGTGGATGCATGCATCAAATCCTCTGCTCTATGGCACCATTTCAATACCCTGCATCTCTCGGAAAATATGTCTGTCCTCACTCAAATCAACACCCTCAACGGTCGTCAATATGCTCAATGGTTGCTCACACTTGGAAATTGCGAATTGCCTGCATCGCCAAACACAGACCACTCTACGATTGAACTTCTTCCTCATCTTTGCCTACAGGAGGGGACTCAGGAACTCATTCGTTGGACATTCCCATGCCTCCAAACAAACTACCAAAATCCACAATGGTTTGTCAAACGATTGGTTTTATCACCCAAAAACAAAGCAGTCTCAGCACTTAACTCAATTATCCATAATCAATTCCTCGGACCTTTCATAACATCTCTTAGTTATGACTCCCTGCTTCCCAATGATCAATATCCTGATGTCCCCATCGATGCACTCAATGTGATTGATATCCCGTCATTTCCTCCTCATATCCTCCGTATAAAAAAAATGCACCCATCATTCTCTTACAAAATATTACAATGAGAAACGGCCTATGTAATGGAACACGTCTCATTGTTGACTCAATTACCAACAGTAGACTTTTGCATGCACGAATCCTCCCATCCCTCCAACCGGTCCTCCTCCCACACATCCTCCTCACTGTTACCGACCAAATAAATCCTTTTCCCTGACAACGGCCCCAATTTTATTTCCGCTCTGCGTTTGCAATTACTAGAAATAAATTTCAAGGTCAATCAATCAAACATGTAGGCATAGACCTTCAACAATCACCCTTTGCGCACAAACAACTCTATGTCGTTGCATCAAGAGTTGGTGACCCTAACCATATCCGCTTTGCGCTTCCCACAACAAACAACCAAACAATAAACATTATCTATAAAGAAACTCTGTCATGAGCATCACATTACCTCCCTCACGTGCCTCCTAACTTCACTATCTTTTTTCTCTCTTATGCAAATTCTCCTGAAAATGCACCGCTTGAAAAGAGATCGAAGACCTCGCCGTCAACAACAACTGCAAAGATCAAAGACTCGCTTACCACGACAACCACTGCTACCATTTCTGCCACTGCATCACAACTATCAACTACAACAACAACTGTCGCGGATGTTCTTCCTGCCACATCAGAACTGCCATCAAGATCACTTTCACTGCCTACCTTTGATCTCTCACACTTCGCCCTTGACGACAACACATTGAGTCAAATCCCGCTACCTTCCTCAGACCCATCTTCCACAATCACAACTATCACTACCTCCCTGCATCCGCTACACACTCCATCTGCTGATAGATATCCTAGATGGGAGACATGGTTGACTTTCATCAACAAAGACAACATTGAACACGTCATCGATCAAATTCTTTGGGAAAACTTTCTCATGACTGACCATATGTTGCCTTCTCAACCCACATATCTATCTACAAACAAAATCGCACACATATGCTTCGCCGCCCGGAACCCTTTTCCAACCCAAACATTTTGCCCAGCAAAAAACATTTTTGCTCAAAACTATCAATGATGATTACAACCGGATGCCTTCCCCCCAAACACCCCGGTGCCAATATCAATATGAGCGTATCACCACCGCCGACCACATATATTATTTCATTGCCTCTGCCCCTCCCCCACAACAACCTCACCTTCGCCCTCATGATGTGCGCGAGGTGGATCCGCTCTGGTGGCTCTCACTTGAACCATGGGGTGCAACACATCCCAGTGCCCTCATTCACGACCTCCTCACCTCCCATCATACACTCGCGATCTACAACATTCCCCACACACCACGCACCTGGGACTATCTCAATGACCTTGTCCTTCTCCATCACCGAGATTCACAACGCCCACTTCCACCATTCCCCACTTATGAAGCAAACATTGTCCGCCATGCTCTTACATACCTCCAAGCCATGAACCCTGCACCGCGACGATGATCATTCGAGGAGCTAAACAACCGAAGATCTGCAACGACAACTACAACGCTTTTGGAGTAAAAGACACTTGCAGCTGCCATGCAGAAACTCTGCAACAACAACAAGTGAACAAGAAAGAGGACTTCGCAACGCAAAATGCTACAACACTCAAGTGGCAATACATCAACCACTTCGCTCGACAGATTTCTCTTTCGACAGACTCGGGGACAGAAGGAAAGACAGACACACTGAGAGAAAAAAAGACGGGAAAAAGAAAAAAAAAACTTAAAACAATAGGCTACAAAGATTCAAATTGCCTCGTGACATTCAATTGCAAGAGATACATACACCAACATTTCGCCTCTTCCCTTCTCCCTCTTTCTGTCTCTTTCCCTCTTTGTGCATGTTCGCATGAGCTTTTGCTTTCCCCGCTCAATGCCGCGGCGCGCCGCGGCGATCCACTTATTTTTTTTAAATATCTAATACAATAAAGGAATAAAAATTAATAAATCTGAATGGTAAACCAACTTAAGTGACCATGGTTTTGGCTGAGGGTTTTAATAGGACAAAGGTTGCATAGTCTGGGGTCTGTAGCTCAGGGTTTTGGGGAGGAAATTTTAAATAATATTACAATAATAGTTATATATGAAGTTTATGAACTAAAAGAGTGCACTTTGGAAAACAAAGTTTAACAAACGATAAAAATACACAAGGCAAACACGAAGAGCACACTGAAACCATTCATTGTTATCATTCTTCTTTTCAACTCCCAAATGACTGTGCCACTCACGTACAAGGCTCACCGCGTTCATGAAGTCGAGCACGAGCTGCCCGCTTTCTCGTGTGCCATAATGGCTCACTTGTACACTGTGAGAAAGAGGCAGTGCAAAGGGGGAGGGGGTGACAACAAAGGAGATGGAGACAAGACAAAGCAAAGAAAGACAAAGGGAAAGTAAGGAGTGTAGAATGTAGATGAAAGCAATATATATACATATCTATACATATTATATATATGTATTATGTATATGTATTATGTATATAATATGGGACGAAAATGTACGGGGTAAGTGTGGCTGGACCACGCTTAGCATGTTGTATTATTTTTCAACGGGCACAATGCACCGAGTCCAAGTATCGGGGATAGGGTGTTTTGGACCGGTAAAAATATGACCTGCAGTAAGTGCAGGTTGGCGCGCCGACGGGAAAGCTGAGCTACCGCGCACGTGGAAACGAGCGGTATGAGTCCATACTTTGCGATTCTACGTTTTTTCAGTATGGCGGTATGAGTCCATACTTTGCGATTCTACGTTTTTTCAGTATGGCATAGCAGAGTAATTAGATACTATTTAAGAAGTAGTAGCGTAGGAATTATACCTCGATCTGAGTGACGTATGAGTGGAAGGATTGAGATTCCTCAACAGTGAGGGTTGAGGTTTTGTGTAGGGGGGAAGGTGATGGTCACGATATTAAAGCTCATATCATCTTCTTGTTATTGTGTATCCATTGTATTGTCTCATGGTGCAGAGCCTCATTTTTGACCTTGTCGTGGCTTGGGAACGAGAATGGGGTGCCGACTTTTCACATTGCTGAGAGTTGTGCGTTGTTGTCTTCGCATATTTCTTATATTCTTATAATCTTATAATTTTATAAGGTTATAATTCTACTTATTTATTTATGTATTTGCGTACCTTTGGTACCCTCTGCTACTTTTACCACGGTGTGATGCATCGCCGTTCGTATGGTATGTTTTCGTCAGTGGGGGAGCTGCGGCATTAATTTCTATTCCTCTGTCGCCCAATCTCTATTCCTCTTCGCCCGCTTTCTTCGCGAAGGGCTCTGGCGTGGACACTTGAGAATCTTGACGCTCCATCGATAGCACCACTGTTGTACATTGTTGCACGCTAAGATCGGAGTTACTGTATTATAATCGCTCCGTCATGTAACTTGGACGGGGTCCGGTCGCTTGAGTGCGGTACGATCTCCGTTTGTTCCATTTGGAGGAGCCGCGGGTTGCATTCTTCGGCGGTAGATGGCATGTCAAACACTGATATGCGTTGGGTGTTGATTCCAAGGAGTGGTAAATAGTGGCACAAGGTGCTGATTGCAAGGAGTAACAATTGGCTGATTTACAAGCAAGGCGGAGCCGTACTGTACTTGTGGGCATCAGTATCGGCATTCTCCTAACGTGTGATGTTGGGCGCATGTACGGGAGGGGGCATGGCAAGAGAGGCGGGGGTAGGAAAGGTCGGTGGTCGAATTGCAGACGCTACTGGATGGAAGGGAGTAGCAATAACGGGTACGCGCCAAATGCCAACGGGGGATTCGCACCGACCGGACCTGCGTAATTTAACACTGCAACGAATCCGGCTCAAAACCCACCACCTCCGGGGTTGTTCCCACAACAGTTCAGCGTACCACCAGAGATTCCGCCTACCGTGCCAGCTCAATTCCAGGTCCAACCACAGGGACAATGGCCAGGACAGCCATGGCATGTCGTGGGCCAGTGGCCTTCGATCCAGCAATGGAGTGCGCCGCAGATGCCGATGGCGCCGCTGGTGAATCAGCAAGCCTCCGGGCATGCGAATCAGGGGAACGGTTCGTCCAATCGTGATACGAAGGGACCTGCTGCGAATGCGTTTCCCGGGCCCGACAATCGGGCTTATTTCACCAAGGAGTATATGGATCTCCTTGAAGGTATCAAGATGGACAAGGCGTTAGACGATGCTAAGAAGAGGATTGCGACTTCAAGGAGAGGTGGCGTTCGCATTACGGAGCTGCCAAGTGAGAGCAACCAAAGTGAGAATCGTACCGGAGTGAAGAGTGAGAAGTCGGATAGAACTGACGATATGAAAGCGTGGGTTACCACCACGCTGGGAGATTCGCTTAAGCTGATCAACGAGAAACTCGAAGAAGTAGACAAGAAGTCGAAATTGACATCGGGCGAGAAGGAAGAGCTTGAACGACTTCATAGTGAGAAAGCTCGGGCGGAGAAAATCAGTATTGACTCCACGAGTAGCGAGAAACGTAAGAGAGGTGGGGAGTGAACACCGGTGATCAATTCACCATCCGCGAATCGGGTCAAGACTCGGTCACGGGGAAGTGCCAAGGTGAAATCAAGGTCGAAACGAATTGACGTTTCATCTGACGATGAAGGGCAAGCTGGTGTCAAACATAATCTACAAGCAAAGATTGAAGGGAGCAGCGAGCTAAGTGATATTAAGAAGATGCTTGCTGCGCTTATGCAAGGGTTGGGCGACGGGAAAAGCAAGGCAAAAGTTGTTGAACCAGAGCCAGCTAAGTACACGCCGGTAGAAGGTGATGATGTGGACCTGGTGCAGAATGCTACTTGCGCTGAGGACAAAGAAGAAGGTGACGAAGGGGGCCTTGCCGCCTACATGAAGATTCGTTTGGACTTCTACCATTCTCTGCACTACTCCAGAGTGCAACAGATGTGTAAACAGAAAGGGATCCAGTACTACCGTAAGGAAATGGGAGCTTGGGAACTCGCCAGGCTGGACCTTCAGGATTACACTGATCAGCTGAATGCTGATGAATCCACCGTAGTTGCAGGACCATCGTGGAAGAACGAAGTGAGCCGGGATGACGCCGCCAACGACGATACAGTCGGGGGACTCTGAGTTTCGGTAGCCTGAGATCGTTGAGGCGTGTGGTGGAACGGATTCGGTCTCTTAAGCAGTGTGTAGAACAACAAATAGCCACGTTGCTGGATCAAGTTCATGTGCTGATTATCCTTGTTGCCTGCCTTATGGGGGATATTAAGTGGGGCAAGACGTATGTCCAATTCTGGCTAAGATTTAGCGAACAGGATTGGGATAGACTACTTAAAGGGGATAAATGTGTATATGTCCTCTTGTCGCTCAGTCAGAGTCCTGTCTATGTTGGAAAGACCTCACGGACCCTCAAGGAAAGATGGGCGGAACATCGCAGAGCAGTTAAAAAAGACAGTAAGCAGAAGGTTCATAATTGGTTGAGGAAAACTGATATAGACCACTATGCCCCAATTCCTATTTGGTTCGGGGATGAGGCGGTGATTAACGTGGTAGAACAAGATGTCATCTGGGCATATAACCCTGGGCTTAACACCTCTGGGAAGTACGGAAAAACCAGCACACGAAGGCCGAGAGGTAATCGGAATAGAGCAGTTAAAGTTATCGTGAATGTGGGGGAACCTCTGTTGTTTAATTGTGCTTTAACTAACACTGTGCACTACCCAGACTTGCTGAGTATTCTAAAAATCTTGTTGAAGGAGAAGATTAAGAAGGATGTTGTTATTATTAACAACCCAGGTGGTCGCTAGCTTAAAGCCTGACGATTGATTTCTCTATTGTTTGGTTTTACCAAAATTGAAATCGGGGGGTCCAAGCTCCTCTTAAAGGACGCTAAGTCTGAGATCGAGCTAGGTGGGGTATGGAGGATTTCTCAGCTGATGCGTACCATAACTAAAACGGATCTGAAGACGGCTGAACTAATCGCACTGCTGCGAGCACCATGGAAGCGCCGCGACTTGTGGAAGAATGATCTGGAGGAAATGATTGACCTGAACAATGCGGTTAAGACAATCAATCAAAGGAGGGGCCGACAAATTATTCGGGGGATACTTACCAATGTGTTTAAGAAGAAGTTTGGTATTAACCCTCGGGTGAATATTGTTGTAAAGATGCCGTTTTGTACAACGGTAAATAAAGGGAAAGTTGAAAAAGAGGTGAAGAGTTGGATGTTAGCAACAGTCCAACCAGACTCACTGGCTGATCTGTATGCAAGGAGAACGAAGACCGTTTGGCTCAAGGCTAAATCGGTGGGAGATCTCCTGCATAACAAAAAGTTATTTGCGCAAGACAGCAACCTTGAGTGCTGTTGCGCTGACTTTGACTTGCCTAGGATTGACGAGCATGTAGCGGTCAAGATCAGTGAGTTGAACAACATCCACCCCTTTGTCTGCAACGCTAAGAATATCCCTTTTCCGGGAGTTATGAACACTCGGAGAATGATTAACGCGGCCTGTAATGAAGCATTGGATTGTCTCAGGGGCAAGGGATTGTGTGACAGAGTATTCCATATTGACTTGCTCAAAGTTGCCAGGAAGGGTGTAGCAAGGGATCCACAATGTATCCTCAGTGAACATGTACGAGGGTTGAAACAATCCTTCTTTGGGCTGGTCCTGTCCCCGCTGGACAGGAATCAGAACGAGACGTGGATCGAATGTCCGAAGCGTTACGCTGACGGGTTGGACAAGATGTTCTTAAAGAACGATAACTACGAGACAATTGAGGATGGCAAGGACGCGATTCTCAATCACATGAAGCTGGAGTATAAGAAAGACTTGTTGGATCAGTTCGCTCCATGGGACCGAAGGGGGAAATTGCAGCATGCTTACATTATGCTGAAAGAAAAAGACAAAAGTAAAAGGAGGCCGATTGCCCCCTCTAACCTTAGTCCATTTAGAGCGACAGTCGGGGTGTTGTCCATAACCCTGAACGAACTAATTAGGAAAGCTGAAGTCCCGCATTTTAATCTCTGATCGCTAAGTGGCGTAAAAGATGCGGTCGGTAATATCAACCAGAGATGTAAGGACGGCAAACTGGGCGTAGTTGCACGCTCATACGATATCAAAGAAATGTTTTCACAACTGCCTCACGAAGAGATCCGGAAGGCAATTGAGTGGATTGTGGGGTTGTTCCATCAGAAAGGGATCAAATGGATCAGGATCAATTCAAAGAAACGGACCGCTTGTTTTGGTAAATCCCACGGCGAATCCGGATGGAAATCCATCCGCTTGAGTAAAATGATTTCTCTCACTAATTTATCATTAAACAACACCTTTTTTCTTGTCTCAGATACTATTCTAAGACAGAAAAAAGGTATTCCAATGGGAGGCCGAGCCAACCCTTCGTTAGCATGTGTTATGTGCATGTACGCTGAATGCGACTTTATTCGGTCACTGGGGACTGATGCTTAATTGATCTCAGGAAAGAGATACATTGATGACTTGTTGATCCTGGCGTTTTTTCTAAGGAACGACCCAGAGAGCAGAAAGAAGGCGGAGGGGCTGCTCGATTCAGTCACCAAGATATATCCTAAAGGATTGATTTTGAAACGTATGGACCCAGGTGTCGGGTTCTGGATTTTTTGGAGACCCGAATCATAATTTCTGAGGAACAAGGTGAGTTTTTACTGGCGCACAAATTTAAGAACGCACAGACCATCTGGGCTGAGGCTGGGCTGCGGTTTCAGACCTATAAGTACTTCAGGTCATTTGGACCCACTGCAGCGAAATACTCCACCGTTGCTAATACAATCCTCCGGATTTCAGTGAACTGTAACGACGACGGACTCATATGCTGGGGCTTATTAACCCTGGCAAAAGAGTTGGAGAAGTCGGATTACCCAGGTCAGGTCCTGTTGGCAGGGCTACGTTGGATGCAGCGCCGAGCGAACACGCCCTTCTGGGCCAGGATGCTTGATCTTCTACGAATGATATGAGATTCGGTAGAGATCTCCTGGTTGCGTGAGAGATGATGCGCTGTGCATAGTCATCAGCAACTTTTCTGTCGATAACCAGTTTTGACCCTGCGGGCTGAGCTACAGGTTGCTGGGGGATGGTACAACGTCTGAACAAAATAGGAGATCGGTACCGTGCACTACGGATCGCCCGTCTGCGACAGTGGTTGTCCTATGTACAGTCGTCGGCTACTATAGACGGCCGTTTTTTCGACTGAGCCAGAAAAGCTTATTGGTTCTTCTCTCTCCTTCTACAGAGGTATAAAGTTGTGGACAAGGACCCGACTGTTCATATTAAAAGGGAACCTGGATAGATAAGTAGGCCTGATTAAGTCTCGTCATAATGGGACGAAAATGTATGGGGTGAGTGTGGCTGGACCACGCTTAGCCTGTTGTATTATTTTTCAACGGGCACAATGTACCGAGTCCAAGTATCAGGGATAGGGTGTTTTGGGCCGGTAAAAATATGACCTGTAGTAAGTGCAGGTTGGCGCGCCGACGGGAAAGCTGAGCTACCGCACACGCGGAAACGAGCGGTATGAGAGTCCGTACTTTGCGATTCTACGTTTTTTCAGTATGGCATAGCAAAGTAATTAGATACTATTTAAGAAGTAGTAGCGTAGGAATTATACCTCGATCTGAGTGACGTACGAGTGGAAGGATTGAGATTCCTCAACAGTGTGGGTTGAGGTTTTGTACCGGGGAGAAGGTGATGGCGTCACAATATTAAAGCTCATATCATCTTCTTCTTATTGTGTATCAATTGTATTGTCTCATGTATTGTCTCTTATATCATGGAACAGAACTGCCCGGTAAACCGTAGGCAGAGAGGGAGAAGAGAACAACAAACAAAGGGCTGTGACAAACTGTTTCATCAGAGTTTCACTAACTCATCAAGAGGCTGAACCCTCAACAGTCTGCACCCTGCAGAATCCCCTAACCGATTAGACTGTAAGGGATAATCCACCTTAACCCCGGTTGTGGTTAAGCATCAATGACTGCCCAGCAACTGATAGCCTGAGGTGGGCACCAACCACTGCCCTCAAGGTACCTGTGACGAAAATCAAAGCAGACTATCACTCACCCACACCAGATGGGAAACTCTACAGACACTCGGTTCACACCCCATCACAAGCCAGCAAAACACCCACGAAACAAAGAAAGGTTTGTCACAACCAAAAAATAGACTCCAGACACGCCGCTGGCACTAGAGGCACAGCATGGCCGCGTAGTGACGGCCCCGACCATTGAGGCTCAACCTGACCAAAGAACACCGTAGCAGGGTGCTATCGAAGTCGTGGTATATATATAATATAATATTAATATATATATCGTCAAATAGAACTGCCCGGTAAACCGTAGGCAGAGAGGGAGAAGAGGACAACAAACGAGGGGCTGTGACAAACTGTTTCGTCGGAGTTTCACCTACTCATCAGGAGGCTGAACCATATGATAGTCGGTGAAACTCCGACGAAACAGTTTGTCACAGCCCCTCGTTTGTTGTCCTCTTCTCTCTCTCTGCCTACGGTTTACCGGGCAGTTCTGTTTGTGACGATATATATATGTGTCTGGAGTGTATTTTTTGGCTGTGACAGACCTTTCTTTGTTTCGTGGATGTTTTGCTGTCTTGCGATGGGGTGTGAACCGACAGTCTGTAGAGTTTTCCATCTGGTGTGGGTGAGTGATAGTCTACTTTGATTTTGGTTAAGGTAGATTATCATTTACAGTGTAATCAGTGAGGGGATTCTGCAGACTGTTGAGGGTTCAGCCTCCTGATGAGTCGGAGTTTCCCGACGAAACAGTTTGTCACAGCCCCTCGTTTGTTGTCCTCTTCTCTCTCTCTGCCTACGGTTTACCGGGCAGTTCTGTTTGTGACAATATATGTATATATATGAAACAGCAGTAGCTTAAACCACCACAACCTTTCCCGTACATCGGCCTCGCCGTGAGTTTTGGAGGCCGGAAATGCAACAAAGACCGCTGATGAATTTTATGAACGGCGGCCCAGCCCGCAAAGAATGCAATATATTGAATATATATTCCCACTTGGGACTACAGCCTGAAAGGTAGTGGTGGTTTGAAGGAGGTTTTCAAGTAAAGGAAAGGAGAAAAAAGAAATAATAGTTAAAAATGAGCATTGTCTGCCATACCGTTACTTGGACGGTCAGATGCACTCCTTGTCCAGGTGGCACTACGCAACGAATGACATCATCTGAAATCCACCTGGTAATCTTTGAAAACACAAAATGATGAAAAAGTGAAAAACAAATGCCAATCGTGAGGACTGGAATGGATATAAATATTAATTATATTATACATTAATATTTTAAGGATGTCAACAGAAAATCCTCGCAAGTTCATAACGGACAAAAAAAGAAAGAGAGCAACACAGACAACAATGGTGCAGAACAAATATACAAGGACAAAAAAAAAAAAAAAAAGAACAAGGACACCAGAACATATTCTCCATTCACGCCTCTAGTTTTGACTTCTTTTTTTTTTTTTTGTCTTTATTGCTCTCACTTCGTCCTCTTCTGGGGAGCGGTGATTTGGTTCCTTGGTTTCTTTAAACCACCAGTACTTGGCCCAGCTATGGGCCGCGGAAAAAAAATAGAATAGAAACGTTTCTAGTTGGATGAATTTGGGCGCTCCTGTAGTGGCCCGTACGTTTCCTAAAATCGCGTAGCGTTAGTGGGCACGACTTTAGGAAGTACTGGTGGTTTAACTTTCTTGTCTTTTTTTTGACAAAAGGAAGCGACCGCTCAATTCTGCAAAGTGGAAGTCTGGTTCCATTCTCTCTTTTGCTTGCTTTTTTTTTTGAAAAGGTCGCTATAAAAAAAAAAAAAAGGTCCTTATGGTCCTGGCTCTGTTATATTCTAGGGAGTGGCTGTCCTGATTCTTTTCTTTTTCTTAAATCTGTAACAAAACCTGTCTTCTCCTCATATATGGGGGACAACTGTATTTTCATACGCCATTGTCTTCTCTCAATGTTTTCCACCTCGCACTAAATACCCCATACTATCTACCGCCATATGTGAAGTGAAGGAACTGACCAGCAAAATCAGTTTCAGCGTGAAAGATACCCCCATATCCTTTTTTTTTTTTTTTTTTTTTTTTTTTTTTTTTTTTTTTTTTTTTTTTAAATCTACCCCCATATCTAGCATGACAGGAGTCACAGGACTCCATATCAATGCACCGGAGGGGAACTGCTAGAGGTAACCCACCTATAGGGAGTAGTACACAGGGTCTTAACCCCTAGCGAGGGATGGACTGATCCCAACAAATCCTGCCAAGACCAGCCAGGGGGGGCAAGCCAACCATCTCAGCTGTCGAGCCAAAAGAGTGCTGCAGAGGACCGTGGGTGTGGCAGTCCCGTTTCTGTTCTACCAGTCATCAGAATCTGCAGCAGCATTGATTGCTGCCAATACCGTTTTCACCCGGATGGAACGCCCGGTCATGATAGCTGTATCACCGACTGAAAGTTGCCTAAAATACAGCTATAACAACCGGGCGTTCTATTCGGGTGAAGAGTGTAGGGAGAATCAACTGCAGTATACGCCTCCCCATTCAGAATGTCAGGACCTCCTGCCCCCCCTGTTCCCCCCTGTTCCCCCCTGTTCCCCCTCCAAGCCCCCCTTTCCCCCCTGAGCCCCCTCGATCCCTGGTCCCTTCCCAAAAGACATACCTAAAAAGTCGCACCTCACCTGTCCCTCTCAGAGAGCCACCTGCTCCCTGACAAAGTCTCACCCGACTGAGTGCCGACTACCAGGATGAAAACCAAACACTTTTTTATTTTTTTATTTTTTATTTAACAGCTTCATCTATTGGTGGGGAGCAACAAACCAAACACTAAATCCTGCAAACCAAGAAAAGGTCTGCTTAAACTACTGCAGCAGTGAAGGAGCCAAGGTGAAGAAGCCTGCCCTTCTCCTTAGAACTGGCGGCATACCCTCTCCCATGCTGAGTCCTCCTCCATCTTCCAATGGGTGGAATCCTGCTTCCTCTCAGCTGTTCCTTTCACTCCTTCCCTCCCTTTTCATTTTCTCTCTCTCTCCTTCCCTCCCCCCTTTTCTTTCTCCTTCCTTCCCTTGCTTGCGGTCTGCTGCAGCTGCTGCTCCACAGGCATGAAGCCTCACCGCACACCAAATGTCAACAATGGAGGACACATCTTCAGCCATAATATGAGAGAGAGAGAGAGAGAGAGAGAGAGAGAGAGAGAGAGAGAGAGTACTTGCTCTTCTTCTTCTTCCCACTCATCTTAGTTTATGTCCACAGAGAGAGCGCTGAGAAATTCGGCCTTGGACCGAAAGGCCAGGCCCTGCTATCCAGATCAGCACCATTGTGCCATTGCATTTGGTGGTGTTGAGGAGGTGGAGTGTGTTGTTAGGGGAGAGAGACACTTCTGCAGTGGACTTAGAGGCCGAGACCCATTGACTCAGCAATACTTTTTGTTGGTGGAGAGTTGACCATCATTGACATTGCCACATTGAGAACCATCTTCTTCTTCTTCGTGCTGCTTCTTCTTCGTGCTTCTTCTTCTTCTTCTTCTTCTTTCCTTCCTTTCTCTTTCAACGTTTTTTTTTTTTTTTTTTTTTAACACAGGCTCCATCTATGTGTGGGGAGCATGACGTGCTGAGAAGAAGAAAAAGAAGAAAAAGAAGAAGATGGGGGCATGTCTCTGCTACTATGAGGATCTCAACCCTGGATGCATTCGCCTCCTACTCACACTCTACATCTACTACTACTATGCGGCTATGGCCGCGTGCCTTCCACAGCATAGCGCTACCCAGCAGGCCTCTCTAGGGATCAATCACTCGCAATAGCGCACAAGCACCAACGGCGCTTCCACTTTTCTTGCGAATGAGCAATCTGCCCCAATGAGGCTGGGCCAGCCCTGGCTTCACTGGCCTCTGCTTGACTTGGTCCAGAGGCTTGACTTGACTGGTACCGGTCGCCCACATCCTGTTTGCTTTTGGAATATGGGTTCCGGTCCCCTTCCAGACTTTTCCTTGGAGTGCTGTTGCATTTTTGGACTGTGGGACCTGACGGGACATCAGGTACCGGTTGAGTTTGACCTTTGCGGCCTCTGGGGTGACACCTTTTCAGTTTCGGCCTGTCGGCCTCTTTTTGACTTGGGGACCTTGACCCTGGAATTCTAATTTGGGGTCTGCTATGTGAAAATGCTTTCACAAGTATAAAAGAAAGAAAGAGAGAAAGAAAGAAAGAAAAAAGAAAAGAAAGAAAGAAAGAAAGAAAGAAAGAAAGAAAGAAAGAAAAGAAAGAAAAGAAAGAAAGAAAGAAAGAAAGAAGGAAAGAAAGAAGGGGCAAGTACGTTTGTGTCACAAACGAAGTTCAAAAGGGCAAAAAAAACAATAATGGGCAACGAAAAAATGGCCTTAGTTCGAAAAGGCAGTCATAACATCAGAAGGTGGTAACATCAGGCCCCGAGTTTGAAAAGGG